CCACCCTCCCCTCCTCTTTTCCTCCTTCGCCCCCTCCCCTGCTGAGGACCAAGCCCTCCTGATCCCCTCACCCCCAGGTACACAGGCCATAAGAACCAGGAATACAAGCTAGACTGCTGCCTGAGCGAGCGTGACACACACGTGGTCAGCTGCTCTGAGGACGGGAAGGTGTTCTTCTGGGACCTGGTGGAGGTGAGACTCCCCACCCCTACTCCATACTTGGGCGCCTGCCCTGTCCCAACCTTATCCTTACCTCAGTCACTCTCAGGCCTGGAAAAGGGAGTGGTGTTAGGTACTCGAGCTGGGATCTTGAAGGAGGAGTGAGAGGATGAGGAAGGAAGGACATTCCAGGCAAAAGGAACAGCATGTGCTAAGGCTTGGAGGTGTGGCATGTGCACACATTGGTCATAAAACAGGACTTCAGGTTGGCAGCAGAAGCAGGCTCCAGGTCAGGCAGGGCCGCAAATGCCAGGCTGAACCACTGGGACTGACCCCTGAGTGAGGGGAACCGGATGGTGGCGTCTGACTTCGGGTGAGATGGGGCTGTAGTTGTTCAGGAAACCTGAGCTACATCTGAGTGTCTCCATGGGTGGTTCAAAGCCCCAAGCACTGTCCTTGATGTGTCCCAGCCTGGTGGAGGAGTCAGGCTGGGAATAGACCATCCTGGCTGAGGCTGGGGAGCCTCAGAGAAGGAAACGTCAGTGCTGGGGCTTGGCTGGAGGAAATAAGCTCCATAAGAGGATGGAGGGAGCTTTCGCTCTGGGAACTAACACAGGGAGAACATTCTACCTACTTCTTGCGGGCCCTGTAGACTGAAAGAGAAGATAAGCGGTCTCTGGACACAGCTAGAGGCAGAGCCAAGAGGACTTACTGATAAGGGATGTGAGGTGCGAGAGAGTCACCAGATGTTTGGCCCAAGCACCTGGAAAGATGGAGTGACTGAGGGGCTCAGTTTTAAGCAGATGAGGTTTGCGGTGCCTGGTAGGTGATTAGGGGCAGGTGGATAAAGGTCAGGGGAGAGGGATGCCCAGGGACCTAGGGGGCCAGGGGACTGCCTGGCCACTGATCATGGCTCCCCACTCCTCGCTCCACAGGGTACCCTGGCACTGGCCCTTCCTGTGGGTCCCAGTGTGGTGCAGTCGCTGGCCTACCACCCCACAGAGCCCTGCCTGCTGACTGCCATGGGGGGCAGCATCCAGTGCTGGAGGGAAGAGGCCTACGAGGNCGAGACCATTTATTCTAAAGACGCTGCTGACCAAGGAGTGGGAAAGGGGCTGGGTCTGCAAACTAATAAATAGAGGAGGGGGTCAGGCCTCCCTAGGGCCACAGTTGCTCAGTCTTCATTCTTCTCGGGCACGAAAGCATCTACCTTCTGGGCAAACGTTTCTGCCACAAGCAGGGGGAAGACCAGGGAGGCATCAGCATAGACCTGCAGAGGGAACCTGGGTGAGCCAGGGGACCTGAGGCCACATCCCAGGAGACGCTGGCCCCCACCCAGCGACCCTTACCTTGACAGGCTGTGCGTCCCCCCGGATCTTGCCCCAAGAGACGGCCTCATCTGGCCGGGCACCTGAGTCAGAGCCATCAAACTCCTGGGCCGTGTTGATGTAGACTGCATAGTCGGCCCCGTTCCGCTGCGGGCAGGGGCAGGGCAGGCCCAGTCAGCCAGGCACGGGGGGCAGGACCATAGCCAAAGAGGTTGAGGGGTGTGTCCCCGATGAAGGAAGCCTTGGGCAGTCCCTTGCTCCAGGGAGGAGCCTCACATCAATGCCTGGGGTCACGGGGGTTGCTGGGCATACGATGGGTAGCATTTCCCTGGACCCACCCCATAGGTATCAACAACCCTCCCCCATCTGCTCTGCAGCAAGAGCCACCACCAGCTCTATCCTCAGGAGATCTCCAACCCACCCACCCCTGCCCTCCACAGACCCCATCACCGCCCTCCTGGATCCCCACTCTCTCACCCTCCACCATCTGTCCCCCCACAGCAGCCTGAGGGCACCTGCCAACACCTGAGGCAGGTCATTTCCCACCTCCCTCAGCAAAAGCCAAAGCCCTCCCTGCAGCCCAAGAGGCCCAG